GCTAATATAACAATGAATTTGGTGTTGATTATTTTTCAGCCTTAGAAGTTTCCACAAAGGTGAAAGAATTAGGAAAGAAAATGCTTCAACATTGTGTTGGCTTGCCATTAGCCATCATTGTGCTCGCAGGACTACTCGCCAGAAAGGACACAATTAATGAGTGGGAGACAGTACTTAAGAATGTTTATGCATACATAAGAAGAGGCAAAGATTGTGAACATGAAGTCATGGGTACATCGTGGGTGTTGTCGTTGAGTTATGATAACTTACCGTATTATTTAAAACCATGTTTTTTATATTTAGGTCATTTCCCTGAAGATTTTGAGATATCAGTAAAGAGATTGACTCAGTTATGGATGGCAGAAGGTCTTATATCCTCGGTGCAACAAAGACAAGGTTCAATGGAAACAATGGAGGAGATAGCTTTTAGTTACTTAAATGAATTAGTGCAAAGGTGTATGGTTCAAATTGGAGAACGGGGTTCAATTAGAAAGATTAAATCTTGTCGGCTTCATGATCTCATGCGAGACTTGTGCTTGTTGAAGGCAGAAGAGGAGAACTTTCTCCAAACTGTCAATTTGTTGCATAGGGAGACAATGCATGCTCTTCCTTCTCCCACGGTAACCAAAGCAACACTAAAAGGTAAGGTTCGAAGACTTGCCATCTATGTGGATGATAATGTTGATAAAATGGTTCCATCAAGATATGAAAGAGACGAATGCCTTAGATCTCTGTTATACTTCGGCCCAAGATACTGGATGCCAGAAAATAACAAGTTAGTGTCGCCACTATTCAAGGACTTCAAATTGCTTAGAGTTTTGAAGGTTGAAGGTATAGAGCTATTAGTAAAATTGCCTAATGAAATTGGGAATATGGTCCACTTGAGATTTTTAAGTCTAAGGCATAGTTTTATAAATTGGTTGCCATCGTCCTTAGGTAATTTGATATGTATGCAAACTCTGGATTTACGCATTAACGGAACGAATGTAGTTCCAGATGTATTTTGGATGATGGAACAACTGAGGCATTTGTATTTACCCTTTTATTACACCGCACGGGGTAAAAAACTTAGACTGGCCACTCTTCATGATTTGCAGACTCTACACCATGTTTCAAGCCTCTGCTGTGACCTGAACGATCTTACTCAGTTAACCAGTCTTAGAAAACTGGCCATACGAGTGACAAGCCCCTTGAAAAATTTGGAGAAAACCTTAAAATCTACAAGCAGCACACTTGATCGCATTCGATCTCTATTTGTGCACAACTTACTTGGAATTCATAGTGGTACGGAGGTTGCACAGATAGTGTTAAGTTGCCGTCATATAGACAAGCTAGATTTGAATGGGCGAACCGTAGAGTTACCGGACCTTCAACACTTTCCGAACCTCACTAAGTTAACACTGTGTCGCTGTGATCTCAAGGCCAACCAGATGGCCGTGCTAGAGAAGCAGCCAAATCTTAAAACTCTTTGCCTTATGGAGGAAACTTTTGAGGATGGATTAGACACATTGGTTTTCTCCAAAGGAAGCTTTCTTCAACTTGAATCTCTTTCCCTCATTTGCATGTACGAATTAAGGGACTTCACGGTGGAAGAAGGAGCCATGCCTAGCCTCCACCGATTGTGCATGCAACATTGCAGGGGATTGACGACACTTCCAGATGGGCTGAGACATATTACTACACTTTGGGAATTAAGCTTCACACAGATGTCTAGGACATTGCATAGTAGGCTTCAGGTTGGAGGAGATGATTTCTATAAAATCCAACACGTGCCTTCGATTGTATTTGCAAACATGGATGAGGACTAGGTACTTCTTAATTTCCGAGTGTGGTCGAGGTTAATTCATTTGTTGTGTAACGTGTTCTTCATTTTGCATCTTTGCGTCATTCTTTCATTTATTAATTTTCTTCTTTTTTATTGTTATACTGCAGTTGTTGGTTGTCTGTTTTGCTTGCTCTTTTTTCTGCTTTATTTTCCTGCTTCTGCTCTGATAACCTACCTTCCTCTCAAGTCCAAAACCAAACCAACTTCTTCAATTCAGTATCGTTATTTGTTATTTATTGAATTTTTTTTTCATAATGTCTCACAGATTCCTAAATTCAATAATGCAGAAAATCAAGAGAAGAAAATTTGTGAAGATCATCCAATTCAATTATGGCAGGCCATATCCGTAGAAGAAGCACCATATATGTTACATGCTTGATAGAGCGAAGGCTTTTCTTCAATAATAGACTACAGTTCATGTTGTATTATTGGTTTTGGAATGTGGAGGAGGCAGCAATGGTGATGATGATGAAGTTGAGGATGATGTAGATGTAAAGTGGAGATAAGAAGCAGCTTTTGAAAGAGGTCCAGAGCTGGGGAACAATGGAAACAGTGAGATTCAGAAGGTAAGGAATGATTGCCGCTTTGAAGAATACCGAAGTGGAGATTGTCCCTACACTAAGAATACCAAAGTGATTGCCACTTCATATATGTTAAATCTATTTCATAACAGGCATGTGTCTGGAAGCACATCAATATTCCTTCAATAAAATACTACAGTTCATGTTGTATTATTGGGTCTCACTTGTCGGAAAAAAATGCTGATTTTGTCTTATGCTGCAGCTGGGGCATAGCATTGAGAAAGGATGCAGAAGCTGACCAGACAAATTGTGCTGCATATACTTACTGCCGAAGATGATTATATGGAAATTGAATTACTGGTATGAGATTCTTGGTATGTCATAATGTCACATAATTATCGTAAAGTATTCTATCATAACTTGAAAGTAATGTATTTTTGTGTCCAAAGGATATTTGCAAATTTGTTCTCTTGTTCAAAAGTACTAATTCTATTTTTCTTAGGTGAGAAGTGAGGACATGTGAATATATACATCGGGGAAGCTAACCAGATGTTTAGAAAAGCATGTCAGATGATCAGTTTAATGGAAGTTAGTATATACTTGTGCCCTCAATACAGTGCAAATATATCTTTGTTTTGATTCTGTTCTCTTCATATGAATGTGCTGGGCTGCTTTGAGGTACTATATGTCAGGCTATTATGCTTCTGCTGTCTCCTTCGAATTATAAGGTCTTCATTATTTACTAATCTTCAAATCCCTGTGTTTCGGTGGATCCTGAGCCAGACTTCACGGAAAGAGCGATACGGTTAAATGAGTGAAGCTGCCTCAAAGGAAGGAATGGATGACACCATTGGGCCAATGTCGATAGAGTGCTCCGATGATGACGTCATATACAAAAGCGTGGTGGAATGTTAGAACCCAAATATCCCACGTTGAGAGCTCTTGAGAACCCTTTCCATACAAGTTAATTTTTAAGTGTAAGTTCTACCCACGGTCCCTCTTCTCACAAGGAGAAGATCTTACTGCAGTTACCACCAATGGCTTCATCAAAAATTTATCTCTAAGACTCTTGTCAATCATTTTGGTTAAATGTTTCCAAGTCTAGTGTAATTCTATGTGTGTATGCTTAAAGTTTGTGTAATCCTATGGTTAACTGTTTTAGCAGCGTAGGGATATCCGTGTTCGACTGCTTGCAATACATTTCATCCATGAAACCTGTTGCGTAGATACAGCTGCACCAAAATGGATTCAGTTGCATCCTCAACTTGTGATACTCGCAAGTGCACGAGCCGT